AGAGCATTTTCTTTATACAATTCTAGAAAACTAAATTGAATCCAAATGTCCATAACTGATAGAATTATTAAGGTTAGGCAGCCACATATGATTAATTAAAGAATTAACAAAGTGGATCAATAAGTAATGGAATACCCTTTTTCTTAGATGCAGATCTAATTTTCCTGTCGTGTTCAAAGATTTGGACCTTATTCGTTTATTATCGTATATAGACCAGGCCAGCCACAATCTGTACAATAGTAGTTTACTTAAGTTCTAATAATTGTGTTAGCAATTGAGAGTGAAGGATAGCTTAAGTGGGTAGAGCTCCCCTTCCGATTTCAAGAGATCTTGGAACGGATTTTCATCACCTGTCCTTGTGACTCTCTAAACAACATAATTGTGTTAGCAATTTACAATACTAGATTTTCTATACTAGTACTAGTACTCTATGAACATTATGTAGCTTGGATTACAAAATCAGAATCGTTTTTGATTTTACGGCAAATTTATTGATTTTTTGAAAGAGTTGATTCTCTACTAATCAAGGCAAGCTAAGCTAGATCGGACGTATAAGGCGACTATAGAATAAAATGTTATCAGTCTAGAGCCACTCACTAGGTGTACAAGATGTTTTTGATCATAAAGGTCGATAAGCATATGTAAATTTTTTTCCAAAAAAATAATACCAACATTAACTTCTAATTCAAAACTTGGAGCCCAATTCATGATTTACATTTTTTTTTTCAGCAAAAGTGAATTTACACCCTAGGGCAGATATTCTCTCTTCCTCTTCTTTATTTTTTATTAGCTCTCGTTTTCTTTTGTGTATTTTCTTAATGGGGGTTGGTTCTAACAAATGAAATTCCAAAGTTTAGATTTAGTTAGATATGCAATACTTAGAAACCATGTCTTTTTGAGGATGCTTAGACAAGACTTGTACTGACTTATAGTCGACCACTTGCTAGGCCAGATGGCTGATGCTTATTAAGGTAGCATCTTGAATTTTTGATCACTTTATGTTGAATTTGCATTGTGATCATGTATATGAACCCGTGGATGGATATATTGTCTTATCGATAACTAATCAATACATGGTAATGCAATTTCATCCCCTCCGAAATATATGTACAAATCTTCATAAACCTCCGCTACATTACATACTCGTTAACGTTGATCTCTAGATACGTTACATACATATATAGATTAGAGATGATAACTTGATATCAAATTGAATCACTTATGAAGCGACACGTGACCGTGCATGTTAGGCAAAACAAAAAGAGGCCCAAGATAAGAGCCCAAATAATTATATCGACTTATGCTAATGTTGGATGGATCATGAGAAACATGCATGTTGACCCATACACATCATGAATCATGGGCATACTTTGAAGATGGTGACATAACAAATCATATCATATAATATCATATATCATATCACTTATATAAAAAATCGGTCTCGCAACCCAGGTCACGAGATATCGACACTTAGTATTCCAGTGTCGAACCACTTAGGCGATAAATAGGTATTATTGTGACACATAGGTTGCTAAGTAAGCGAATTTTGGATAGATTTTTTTAAAATAAAAATATTGTATAGTGTTTTATTATCGATATACTTCTAATATTTCATATATACAAAATTATTTATAACTTTTAATAAATACTTATAACTCATTACTATTTCCATCCTAAAATTCGTTTTAAAAAGTTCTTTAAAATGAGATCCATTTATAATATATTTTAATAAAAAATAGGAAAGCAGTAAAAATAGCTTTTAATCAGAAAAAATAATTTTAGTTTGGTAAAAATACTTTCAGTTCATTAGAAATAATTTAAGTGCGATAAAAAAAATATCAAGTTAATAATAACATAAATATCTATTTACAAATTAGTTGGAAATAATGTGAGATTCAAGTGGTGGGTCGGAGAGATCTCCATGGTGGTTGTTAGACTTATAGTATAACTTTGTTTGTTCTACTGTGGAAACTTTGAGCACTTTGGTTAACACGAGGATTCTATTATTCCAATTTCTATCATTAACAATTACAAATTTATTTATTTTTTATTTTTAAAAAAAAAAAATCATGTTAGTTTATGGAAATTTTGTTAAAATCCACTTTATATATAAACCTCACGAAAAGATAATTTATTTTTTTTGTTAAAAATTCCATTTTAGTTTATGGAAATTTTGTTAAAATCCACTTCATATCATATCACTAATAAATAAAGTCAGTCTCGCAGCCAGGCCATGAGACAGCGACACTTGACATTCCAATCATTTGCCAAGTGTCAAACCGCGTAGGCAACAAATAGATATTATTCTAATTGGATTAGATTGGATAGATTGGTTTAAAATAAAAAAGTATACATAAAATAATTTATAATTCTTTTGAATTTTTTATTTTTTATTTTTTTTTATTTTTTTTTATTGACAATAGAATTCTACTTATAGCAACACACCACATATCATAATTAATATGAATATCCAATTAATAATAGAATTTTACCCTATACGAATAACCACGTAATTATAATTATATATATATATGGCCATGTATCATTAATTTTTTTTTAGTCTACCATTGATTTACCATTAAAGCTTTTGAATAATGTATTTTTCATATTTGGTTGTAATATTTTTGTGTATGTTTGTGATTTGTTATTGAAATTAAAGAGGTAAAAAACTATAAATTAGGAAACAACAGAAACGGTACAATACAAGGGAATTTTAAAGTGAATTTTTAGAACTTTACGGGTTTTACAAAGCCTCAATAGCCAATTTACCAGCCATATATTACAAATGGTCCAATTAAGCTAATAATAATATGTTGATTTTACGTGTTGCAAAAATAATTACTTTTAACATTTTATTTATTTTATTATTTTTTTAACCAACGCACTCTTCTTTTCACAAAATTATACTCCCTCTATTATTTTAGTGTCCCATTGAAATTTAGCACATATGTCGACATAGAACTTTGATAAACAATATCTTACTTATATATTCTTTTATATACAATTCACAAACATTGGTCATAGTAGACCAAGTGAATATAGTGCAATTTACAAAAATAGAAAATAATAACAAACATGAAAAAAGAATAATAGGTAGTGTTTCTACTCTCTTATTGTATCTAACATTTTTATAAAAAATATAAATACTAATTATTATTATTGTTATTATTATAATTAATTATAATACAAAACATGTCCACAAATAAGTACACTCTTTAAAATGGGTATCCGGGGCAACGCCGGGGCACGTACTAGTAACTAATATATAAAGCTAAACTTTTAGCCAGGCCACAAGACAGCGACACTTGACGTTTTAACTTTTCGCTAAGTGTCGCGTCACATAAGCAACAATAAAATATTAGTATGACATTTAGGTTTTGTTTGGATATATTTTTTATAAATAAAAAAGTTGTATTTTTTTATTACGATAAAAACTTGGATAGATTTTGTAGGATAAAAAAGGTGAGTTTAGAGTTTTATTTTCAATTAATTTTGGAAAGATTTATAGGATAAAATTGTTGGTTTAGAGTTTTATTTCCGATAAAATACCAATATTTCATAGGTACAAATAAATTATAAGTTTAACCAAACCACGAGACAATGACACTTGGCGTTTTTTCACCAATGTTGCGCCACGTAGAAAACAATAAATAGTTTATCATATAAATTTATTTTTATATCATATTATTTTGGAGCGAAGGAAGTAGTTCAAAACGTACAACATTCATCTTTAATATGTTCTACTCGATTGAAATAAAATACTTCTCAATCTAATATGATTTTTTTTTTTATTGTATGTAGACCTGTCAATCGGGTCAGGTCGCGGGTCATTTTAGATCGAGTCACTTCAGGTCACGGGTCAAGAAATTTTCAACGCTAGCCCAAAATTTTGGGTTTGGGTCAACCCAACGGGCTTAGAACAAATTTTTTTGTTTAATTTTTTTTGGCTAATTTATAGAAATTTCTAATATTTGAAGCTTACTTTGCTTTTTTTTTTTTTATAATTTTTTAAATCGAATATTTTCACCAATATTAATATTAGTCATTACATGCCTATTACATAATTTAAATCGTCGTCAAATCACATCAATTCCTAATTAATTTTCTATCAATGAAATATTTTAAAACTTGACACATAAATAAAAAAAGTTTATTTTAAATTCAATAAATAACCCGGGCATCGCCTGGGGCACCAAACTAGTCACTAATAAATAAAGTCGATCTCGCAGCCAGACCACAAGATAGCGACACTTGGCATTCCAGTTTTTCGCCAAGTGTCACGCCCATAGGCGACAAATAGGTATTATTGTGTCACATATGGTGCTAAGTAAGTGATTTTTGGATAGATTTTTAAAGATAAAAAAGTTGTATAGAGTTTTATTATCGATATACTTCTAATATTTCGTACATATAAAATTAATCATAACTTTTAATAAATATCTTATAACTCGGTATTATTTCCATCATAAAATTCGTTTCAAAAAGTTGTTTAAAATAAGATCCATTTATAACATATTTAATTTATTTAAAATAATAATAGAGAATTATTGAAAATAAGTTTTGATTAGTAAAATTTTTTTTGGTTTGGTAAAAGTACTTTCAATTTAGTAAAAATGATTTAAGTTCAATAGCAATAATTTCAAATCAATAATAACATAGATATCTATTTACAAACAAAACTACAAAAATTACACTATTCTGTAAATAAGTGATAGGATATCGTATATCTAAGATAAATATCGTGCATTATCAAAAGGGATTACATGACCGTATTAATGAACATTCAAGTCAAAAAATTTATCCTATAATTTTATCAACAATTCAAGCATTGCTCGGATATAAAACTAGTGGTTTTATAATTTTATCATGTGTATTATCTTTATTATTATCTTATTTTATAAAAAAGATGTACTATTACGTTACTAGTAGTTGTATTTAATAATTTGATTAATTAAATACAAAAATAGTATATGTGGCACGCTGTGAAGCACGGACACGCCACCTAGCTGAGGTGTCCGTGTCGACACGCGTGTCCGACACCGACACGGGTGGGACACGGTGCGATACGTGTCCGACACTTCAAAATCCGTGTCCCTTTTTTTTAAAAAAAAATACGTCATGGACACAGACCGTGTCTCCCTATGACACGACCCGTTTTATTTTGGACACGCCCTTTTGTTATTCCAGCCCAACTCCCTCAGTTTCTTTTTTCTCAAACCCTACTGCTTTCAATCTTCCTCTTCACGAGTTCATTCTACCTCAACCTTCTCAAACCCAAATCGCCGCCGACTGAAGTCGCCTGACCGTCGCCCACCGTCCACCGTCACAGCGTCAGTCGTCGGCTCGTCGCTCGTCGCAAGTCCTCAGTCATCACGAAACCTGGCCACTTTAATACTCTATTCCTTCAATCCTTTGTCGACTCGCCGTCAGCCCGTCACTCGTCGCTCGTCGCCGCCGTCCAGGCGTCACTCTCGTCGGTGCTCTCAGCCTTCTCACTTTCTCAGGTATTCCTCTCAATCTCTCATTCTCGTTTTAAATTTTTAATTTGATTTCATTCCTTCACGATTTGCTTAAATTGGCTAATTTCAGTAATTTGTATCATGGTTTTGTGGTTCAATTACTTCAATATTATGTTCTAGATTAAGGGATATGTAGTGTTTTATCTTTTTGGATAACTTTATGGTTTTCGTTTTTGTTATTTGTTTACCCCTTTTGAGTTTTGACCATTTTTGGGTTTAAAAACTTGCTTTCAGTTAGTCTAAACTTTTGTGCATTTTTGTGATTTTTGTGATCATTTAGTCTAAACTTTATGCTTGCCCTTCAACTGCTGCATTAGTGCATTGATATATATGTTGTGTATGTTAGTGCCCATTGTTTTGGAGAAATAATATGCATGTGGATACTGTATATATAAATGAAACAGTACTCTATATTTCTAACATTTACACTATAAACTTATACATATAACACATGTGCATTGTGTAATTTGATTGTGTTGTTTGAGCTAAACTATAAATGTTTGATTTGCTGAAAATGTGTTGTTGTCTTGTTGAAATTGTCAGGAATGTCTTCTAGTGGTTCTAGTGCCTCTGCTTCGTGCAATGTTAGTGGTAGTAGTAATTCATCTGAGTCTAAGAAGGACCCCTACCCTTTGTGGAAGTTTGTTGTTAAGGGTGATAAAATATCGGGTGGTCAAGACTTGGTATACATTCATAACAACCTTCGATTACTTTCTAGGAGAAGTGAAGAATACACTAAGGGGAGATCTAAGTTGTGGGATGTGGGTGGAGATGAGCATGACAACCTAGGAGAGGTTGGTATTCTAGAGATGGCCGAGCTCTCACTTGATGAACCCGAGATGGAGAATATGATTTTTGATGATGTACTTGGTGATGGTGAAGAATGAAACTATTAGTACTTTTGTTTATTTTATTTATGATTTGTAAAACTATTATTAAGACATGTATTTGGTTTGATGGTTTCTTGATATGTATGAGACTACGTTCGTACACTTTGTTTATTTACTTGTTTTAACAAAATTGTGTGTTTTGAGGCTAATTATTTAGTGTTTTATTGAATAGGTTGTCAAATTCTCGTTTTTTTGATATATTATATGCCTTGTTATATGCCGTACCCGTGTCCCCTATTTCAGGATTGCCGTTTTCCCGTGTCCGTATCGTGTCCGTGTCCGTGTCCGTGTCGGTATCCGTGCAACATAGGTGGCACGTTACTTTATCCTTTGGTTAGTGGGATGATTGGTCACTATGCTAAGGTAATCAATCAATTTCATTTTCAACATTCCACGCAAAATAATCAACAAAGTCACGTGACAAAACGCTTGCTTCAATTCTCTTTTTCTCTCTCCTCAAACAATACATAACATAACATACTCTTCCTACAAAATGTTCAAAAAGTCAATATTCTCTCAAAAACAATATTCCAGGAGCCCCATTATATCATTGGAGCAATTTTTGGAACAAATTTTTAAGGTGCCCCAATGTCGGGGAAAAATGCTTGCTTAGAATGTACACTGCTTCTTTTAAATTTAAGACCCATTTAATCTATATTTTTAATTGTTTTAATTAATTTAGGAAGAAAAAGTTTTAATGTATATTACTTACAGTCCGTTTAATAGCTGATTAAACATAGATTTTAATGTGAAAAAGTTACATGTAATTTGACCAAAGAAAAAAAAAAAGAACTAATCTCATAATGTCCATAGACCATAGCAATGCAGACTCATCTCCAAACTTGTGATTTCCTTTATTCACAGATGTAGAATACCACCCTCACAATGGATAATGATAATAATTTATGAAGAAAAAGCGATAAATTATACGTTTGTTATATGAATTGACATTACCATAAGGCTAAACATTACAAATTTATATATATAGTAATTCATTCTCATTGCCAACATTAATTATTCCTTTCCAAACAGGTTGTTAAATCTCTATTATATCCGGAATTCTTGTATTGTACGTGTTTCTGGCATTTTCCTTATCTCAATTAATTTGGGCCTCTTCCTCATAACTCCTCTTATTAGGTCAAGTTGCAATCGTTGTTTAAAATGAACAAGATGCCCAATGTCTTGTCAAAATCATTTATTTATTAATAAGGATTAGGGATAATTTTTGGTTTAAAGTGACCTCACAATTTTTTTTTTTGGTAGTTAGACACCTCACAAATTTGAAAAATGCATTAAATTTCAAAGAATTAAAAACAGTAGGACATATTAAAATCCTTATCAATAATCATTAATTCATTATTAGCTATAGTTTTACACGAATTATGTAATTTTTGGTATTACTCGTTCATTCTACTACTGCAACTACTATTTTACAAAGTTGTTCAACATGGAGTGGAATTTGATTGATTACAAAATTGTACAATTTAAATTTATGCGAAAATTAATTGTAAAATCGTTAGCAGATATGAGCTATAAGACATATTTACGAAGAGAGTTTTGTTTATAATAATTTAGAATAAGTAAACCATTTAATATTTTTTTTATGTGTAGAGATACATTAGTCTTTCTTCCTCCTGGCTTTTATAACAGAAGTATTATTCTGTACTTAAACAAAAAAAGTTGCACTTTTGATTTATATGTTCATCAAAGCTATATAACTTTAATTATGCATTCACTTTGACAATTATCAAAACATACATAATCACATAGGTCTTTTATATTTATCACAACTTGCATTTTTAATATATTTAGATTTATATTCGCACTATTTTATTTTATATTATATCTATGATCAAATATGTGCTACAAATGAAAGTCAATATGTAACAATTTTAAAGATGAAAGGATTACATTTTACCAACGAAAAAAAAAAAAAAAACAAAAAATCCTTCGATAATTTCTTGCTATGTTGTAACATAATCCACTTGGCATGCATTGCATGGTACAAAGTGACAAACTAGGAGATCCACATAATACTCTTTTCCATTATAGGTAAGTGGTACATCCTTAAATATTACTCCATATTAAGGAAGAAAACTTTGAGATGCTTGGAGTAGTTACTTCTCCACATAGTGTGTGTTTAGGTTATCTTCTTATAAATTATGACATTGAGAGTGTGAATCATATATATATGTTATGAATGGAAGGGCAAGCTTAGATCTAGTGTTTTAAATATGCAAAATTTTGACAAAAATATATAAAGACAAAATTAAAAATAATAATAAAAATAAGCACAAGAATTATTGTAGGTGATTTGGTCAACATGGCCTACTCCATGAGGACGATAGATAATGTATCTAATTTGCTAGCTTTTATGGAGGGTTATTATATAAGCGTATGGCTAACAATAAGAGTAAATGAAGTTCTCTTAACTTGTGTATGTATATGAAATCCTCCAAAAGGGATTATTCTATATGTAGAGTATAAGACATTCTTAGAGAATTATTTAGGGTTTGTTGTGGTATGTAACCCATCTTGGGGGTATCCAAATTTGACCATCGTTTGTCTCATTGCCTGAGCTCTTGAAATGTGCTCACACAAGGCAGTCGGGCACCTCATTCCCTTAATATGTTTATCAAACAAAATATATATGGTATTTAAAATAAATTTGGACGATTTCAATTTCTTTTGTTCTTATGATGAAAAGGGTAGAAATCATAATTAAACCAAATACATGATTTTCCAATTCATTGTACTCCCATATGGTAACAAAACAATTTAAAATGACAAGACAAGGGTATCTTCGTTCACCTTTGATAAAACCATTACATAAATGTGGGAAAACTGATCCATCATAGAAAGTTGGCTCAAAACTGTTTATAAATTTGGAGTTTTGAATACAAATTCGATCCGATAAAATGGACCGGACTTGGATTTGAAATCAACTATCCTAAAATTCGATTGACTGACCAAGATTTACATACAGACCCGAATGTAATTCATGAGTATATAGAGCATTGGTCGTGCAACAACACCAATTCTAGATGATCTAAGAGCATCATTTAGCAATCAAAACGCAGAATTCAAGATTGAAAGAAAAGATAAATGGGGGGGACAACCAAAAAAAAGAAGAAGAATAAAGAAAGATTAGTACAAATAAAGTTGGATTAACATTGTTGAAAGTTCCAAGCCTAATGAATTTCAGGTCCACCACCTCTATGATAAGAATTAGAAGCTAATAATATACTATAATTAACCCAATATTAAGGTATATACTAATTAATAAGATTCCTTTTTACAAACCTCGAAATATTAGTTGCTTAGGTTTTACTAATAATGTATATATTATGCTTGTTCCAAGGGAAAAAAACTGACATTCAAGTATATTGTAGTAATGTAGTTGCATGGGTATGATCTTCTTCTTTGTACCGACAAATTTTGGATACTTCCAACCTAGAGATCACCTTAATTATATCATAATAAACTTAATTAATTAATTATGTCATAAAATAATTAACATTATTCCTCAAAACATGTAAACATTTGAAGCAAAATTCTCATTACCGAGGAATGGTTGACATTCATATTAAGACACCCTTCATAATTATATACTTTTATACTATAATTAAAATTATAATATAAGTACAAAAGTATAGTATAGTATATAATGCCTAGCAATTCATAATGATGTGATCGAGTTTTATGCTGCCAGAGAACAGAAATTGTCAGTATCTTCTATTTCTGCTCCGTGTTGATCGCTGCAAACAATCCCTTGTTTTCTTGTGCTTTAATTTATAGCGACCTATAGTGCTCTAGTTAACTAGTATTGAGTATACAACAAACTTTTTAGCAACTAATTATATTATTAATTACTTTTTATAATTCAAACATGCACGTAAACACAAGCTAAATGCTCGTCTTTCTGTCGGTATCCCATATATTATGATAAAGGATTAATCTAAATTAAGATTTATATATGCATTGTTTTGTTGATATTGATTTTCTTATACTATTCCTTTATTTTATGCATGTAATCTAAAAGAATAAAGGTGAGGTGTAGTACAATTGGTATTACTTTCATGTTATAGTCATTTGATCAAGATATCGACTCGTGAGTCATCATTTCATTCCTTACTCTCTTTTCTATCTAAATTATTCTTCGAGGGCGGAAAAGGAAAAAGGTTTATAAGATTTTCACACTTAAACCGGGGCTGGATATAATGGCTTGGCCATAAGGAGTAAGTGTTACTCTAGACCAAATCAAAACGTGTTTCGATCCCTCAGCTCTCTTCATTCGTATATGTTACCACGAGAGAGGGACCTATTGTTAGATCCCGTTCATACATATGCATATAATTATTTGTATCAATTCTCCTTTACTTTACTTTCAAACATGCTTTTATAAAAGGTTCCTCCACTAAAGGTCTTACTACATCCAACTTACATATTGATGATAATAGAGTACTTATTAGTTGGTAAAGTCTCTACATAATTTATGTCCATTTAGTTTATAAATCATGACAATTGTACCTTTCATTCTCTAAAAAAGGTTGTTCAGCAAGAAACTTCCGTCAAATTCTACAATCTCAAGCGCTTAGATTATTAAAGAACAAAAGATTTATAGAGATTTGGGTCATTCTTTGTTGACTTGTAAAGTCAACATAAAAGGACATGTTGCATATATAAACACATTTATTATTTTAATTTGGGGGTTTAAATGGGCGGCATAGTAATTGGATTGCCATGCATTATGCATGTGAGTTGATGTGGAATTGTAGACTTGTTAATATAGCTTTTTATTGCTTACATGACAAGGTCTCAAATTCAAAAAAAAAAAAAAAAAAAAAAAAAAAAAAAAAAAAAAGGAGAAAAACAAGAAAAATAATTACTCCCTCCTTTCCACAATATACATAACATATATATAATATGACAATATAGATATATATATGTAGTTGAATAATTAGTCTCAATGCGCCTTTTCAAATATATATATTATCTTTTTCATATTATTAATATTAATACATAGCATATATATTTAAGAGTAAATTTGTATATTGACATGTGTGTCAGTTAAATTGTTGTGAGTATTCAAAATGTAAGAAGTAATGTAAGATTTTTTTTTTATTTTTTATTTTAAGAAAATTTTAAATTGTTTGTTTTAAAGAAATCAAACACACACAACTCTCTGTCATAAAGTCTCTTTGAAGCAAAAACTTTATTGTCATCTGACTTTGAACTTCGAAATTCCGTGGTATGTCACCT